TTTCCATAGGCATCAGTGGAATATTCAATAGAACACTAGTAGATTGTAAGCTGTTTGTATAATTGCTCATGTACAGTATTCAAATAGTCTTGAGTGATAATTCCTTTAGGAGACTTGTTCATACACATGTTTTAACTGTTTCTATGTTATTTTTACCATTTTTTTTTTTTGAGAAATAAAGTTTATAGTTTCTTCACAATATTATAGTGTTGTTGCTGGAATATATTTCTCTTTGTACAAGTTACTATTTGAGTTATAATTACAAACCAATCAAAACTACTGACTAATCTGATTTCATGAGCTGCGATAGTACTTGTTAACCAATCATACTGCCATTCTAAAACTAGAAATGTACCCTACTTTGCTCTAGACATGTACCGATTGGTTTTTGTTGATCATACAAGATCTGAACATGCATGATTTATGCATTAGTTTGTCCAATGTAATAAGAGGCAATATTCGGTCAATTCGATCTCCATCCGTCCGTCCGGAGTCGTATCTCGGAATCCCTTGGACCGATTCCGTTCATTCTTTGCATGTGCCTAGTACTTTATGTGGGACATGTGCACATGCAGTGGTTTAGCGATTCAATTCAAAATGGCCGACTGGCAGCCATCTTGTTTTTACCTTGCCCGTACCATCAAAGATGGAAGGGAAAGGTATGTTAAGGGAAAAATTTTGTCCGGCGTTGTCGTCGTCGTAGTCGTTAATAATTGTTATTGTGTGCATAATAACTTTACTAATTCTATTCCAAACTTTATCAAACTTGGTCACCTTATTTTCATCAGTATAAAGTCTTCCCTGAGTTTGAACAACAGATGTCCTGTATGAAAATATCATGCAAAAATTGAGAAAATCTGATAAAATATTTTGACTGTTTCTACTTGACTGATCACTGGTGATACACATCAAAGGTCACTGATCTCAGTGGAAATGTGCATTGTTGTATGTGTTCAATGAAGCAAATGATTTATCTTGTAATAATATCCTTGGTAATGTATCTCAGAATCCCATACTGGGTTTCCAAACCAGTGATTGCACAGTCTGATACACATTTGCAAACCTATGAATAAAATCTTTACAGAAAACAAGATGTCAGAAAATCAATATAAGCACTCCTATGAACTGGGTGCCTAACTTTGATCAAGATCTGAAGCTAATAGAAAATCTGTTTAGTTCAAAGTTATCAAATCAAAAACAATACATAAAAAATACATTAAAAGCAAAACATTTCATCCACATTTTAAAAAGAAAATTATTCTAAAATATAATGTATTCTATATTTGACAAACAGTTCATTCGACAAATGAAAACTCACAGGAATATGTTTCAGCTATTAGAACAGAATGATAGAGTTTTTATAATACTAGTTTAAAAACGCACTTCAAAGATTGCAGTGTTTGAAGATGTAGATTCTCAGGAGGCAACAATACTGTTGACTTCTCCCTCCACTGGACACCAACTATTTAAGTTGATTTGCATACAAAGCAGAGCTTGCAATGTGATAACTATTCATAAAGGGTGTTTTTTTTTTACTTTTCATATAATACAGTAGTCACACAATGAGGCAGTTCATATTTGTCTCAGTGAATCATTAATTTTTGGCAGACACCTGTACAAAATACTTGGACTAAAGCCAGCTAAATTTTTCTCTTATCTTGCATGTTTTATGAATCTATTCACATCTAAATGCAGCACTTTTTTTTTGCAATGAGACATTTGTTTTTATTCTAAAATATCTGAATTACTTTGAATAAAGCTGGAAATTATGTTCCTTAAAATAATTAAACAAATAAGGCACCAATGTTTTTGTAAGATATTTACATCTTAAGGACATTCGGTAGACTGATTGCCCACTGTTGGTTCAACCCCAAAACTTGTTTGTATTCAAAATTAATTATGACAATGCATATTTATATTGAAACAAACTATGATAAAGGGAATTATATTATATAACAAAGGGCAAGGTCACCAGAGTTCAACTATGTTTTGAAAATGTTATATTTTGGGCCGGCTTTGTCAGTTGTCATTCAAACTTGGTATATAGATTATACATGGTAGGATGCATATCCATGACAATTTGTTTCAAAATCTGGTCAAGGATGGCCGATTGACAGCCATCTGACTTTTTGGCCTTACTACTATATTTCCACAATTTATGTATCATTTTCATTCGTATTTGGCACATGCATCATGCATATCAGTGTGTTTCATAATCAGATCAAAGATGGCCGAATAACGGCTGTTTTTATTTTTGGCCGTATTACTACTACACGTAACACGTGTTTTGATGTAAATAAACAATCTGTTGTATATGCCACTTGGAACTCAAGTTTCAAGGACACGCTCGTGACAACCCCTTCGCTTTAATATGACGAGCACAAAGAGAACTTTAAAAAATTTAACGGGACTGTGTCATTTTCAATGACTTGTATAATCAGTGTTTTTTACCATGGTACTACTACGTTCATACACTTAGCAATTGAAGAAAATGTTGGCCGATATTGTTTTTATCATATATTTAGCTCTACTGTCAACTTCATCCAGCGGAACTATTCATATTACTCACTGTCTGTGGCGTCCACATCAACTTTATTAACTCCTGTTCGAAGGTGATTGTCAGTGGTCTGTCAACAATTTCATTTCCTTTTGAAAACTACTAGCTCAATTGGTTGAACCTCTGTCAGATTTGTTAATTTCGTGACGATATCTTCAATTCTCTATTTTTGGCGAATATGTTGGCAATTTTTGGTAAAATATTCTATTTTCAATTTGAAAACTACTAGCTCTATTTGTTGCTTAGTATGTAAGTATCGTGTGGATCTCTATCAGATATCGGTAGTTTAGTTTGATATTTTCAATGAATATTTTTTAATTTAAACAAAAGCATTGTTCAAAATCACTGTTTGCCAGTTTTATATAAAACAGAAGAGTGTTTTATGAATTTAGTGTTGATTACAGTCCTTGTCCCCTTTGCTTGTAGAAAGTTGTTTTCAAAATAGATTGGTTCCAGATAGGTACCCATAAATGTATTCATTCTAATTGTGGTGTAGAACCTAGACAAACTTGGTGTTAATAAAAATTCATTTAAGGCTTTCATTCAAAACTGAATAGTTTGTTCTGTACATGTTCGTCATATTCGTAGACAAGTATGTAGAGTTTCAAACACCAATCTTTAAATATCTACTGTACAATCGTTAATTTTCATTTCAACTTCACTTTTGATCGAATTCACGTTTCCAATAAACAAAATTGTATTTTTAATTTGACCTTTTGTGTGGATTTATGTTCACAGAATTCACTTAATTATTAGTGAAAGTAATTTTAACTTTGACCACTGCAATGACCACTCTGTGGTTAAAGAAACTGGAGAGGTCATCACCCGAGCATGTGTGGTAATTGAGTCCAAAGCGTCGATTACAACACATGCTAAATATGCAAATGCTTATGGGTAGACGCTTGTTTGTGAGCACACACTATGGCCATCAGACGCATGCGTTCCCTCGCTTTAGGTAAAGAATGACATCAGGCTTGGTGCACCATGACACTTAAGGCATGAACTGGCCAAGTGTAATTGTTGGTGCCGGTATGTATAGTATTTTAATTTCCTTTAAAAAACACGAAACATTTTTAGATTTAATTTTTGGCAAATGCATATCCCAAAACAAATGTCTTTGAAAAGTTACAGAAACCAGAAGACAGAAATACCAAAAACATAAACCATGCTATCTGGGAATACATAATGCTTCTACTGTCATTTACTCGAATACGAAAAATGTATCCCGAATCTGGATCAGGCACCACTTCAGAGAAAGAGGTCTATATAAACTCAACATACCAGTGAATAACTACAATAAATTTATGACTGAGATTAGATTTTAATATTCAAATCATCAATAAATTTTTCTATCTCTCGTAACAAGATTAAAATCGTTGTCAATCATAATAATATATTAATATAATATAATAAATATGAAATTTCGATTATAATATAATTGTTATCTTCAATAAATAGTTCTTCAGATGTAATCACTTCTTCTGTCCAGCAGATGATTTAAGTCATGATTTTGTGATTTTTTTTTTCCTTCTTCTTTTTCCCTCAAAGTATAAAGTCAACTCCATTTTCGTCACTTGATGTTGTTGTGATGTTGATGCCGCCGCGACCAGAATTTTATGGACGATATTATGCCCAATAATTTCCTATCCGAATCAAAACTTACCCCATTGCTTACAGACAAACACAGACAATACATATACCCACCCTTCCATTTCTATCAGCATGGGATTACTTCTAGAGCCACATCATTTTTGGGAGCAATGGGCATAAACCTAAAAAGGGACTATAAATTTAAGCAACTTAAAAGCCGTGAAAAATGTTGCAATTTTCCAAAATAGTAACTTATTTAAAAAAAAATAATTTTAAGCCGAAATGTCCTCAACAAATATTGTATTGATACATATTGAAAAATCCAAAAAAAGTCTACTGCTAATGTTTCTAGAGTTATTACTTGTTGATGTTTTTAGTTTTGCGAATTATTAAACAAATGCATTGATGATATTGTTTGGCTTTAGTTATACAAAACATATGGGAATTATTGATATAGCTTTGCAGGTTTGTGTTGAGAAGAATCTATTTTACTCGTAACTTTCTAATCACACAATTTATTCTTGAATTTCCGTATTTCATGATGGACTATGTTTGGATTATATTCTCATGCCATTGATCAGACAAATTATAGAGAAAAGCATTTTATGAATTTAGAACCAAAATTATTTACCCATAATCTTATTTCATCAAGTCAAGCAAAACTGATTTAATTTTGTTCATGAAAATTAAAGAAACTACAAAATTGCAGCTGATCTACAGCACTCAATTTATAATTTTAGATAAAATTTTAAATTATGAACACTCGATTATATCGGTATGTAGAAACTACCAGTTCAAATTTACAATTTATTAAAATTAAATAATTGGTATTAAGTGGAATCTAAAATTATCATCGTAAAACAAAGTTCTTACAAATTAGAAACGATATATAGAAATGTTGGGCAAATGACAGGGAAGAGTGTTTTATGAATTTAGTGTCGAAAATATTTAACAATAATTTCAAGGAAGTCTATGTATACATGAACACTAAGTTGTCGAGTTATTGTTTTTTTCAGAAAATTAAAGAAACTACAAAATTGCAGCTGATCTACAGCACTCAATTTATAATTTTAGATAAAATTTTAAATTATGAACACTCGATTATATCGGTATGTAGAAACTACCAGTTCAAATTTACAATTTAT